TCCTTATGAAATCTTATACAGTAAACCTCCTTTCCTTGGACATTTGAAAGTTTTTGGTAGCCTTTGCTATGCCAGTACACTGAGTCATGCTAGGACAAAGTTTAATGCAAGAGCTCGACAGTGTATATTCTTAGGCATACCACCAGGCATTAAGGGCTACAAGCTCTTAGATCTACAAGATCGTAGAGTTTTTGTCTCTAGGGATGTAGTGTTTCATGAAACTATACTACCCTTTAGGCATGACTCCTCAGAACCCTCTACAGAATCTCCAATAGTCTTTCCATCACATACACCTGTTCCACCTTCTCCACCAATTCAAGTACCTTCTTCCTCACCAGACATACATCCTACTTTTCCTACACCCTCTGATGATGGGGGGCAGCCCTCTGAAACAGTTGACCTTCCTTCTTCAGTTGAAACTTCAGTTGAAAACATCACAGAGTCTCCAGTACATGGTGATTTTTCTTCTGCTTCTTATGGTGAACATGATCCTGAATTGGAACCTCAAGCAGACTATGAGGAACCAATTGGCAGGCCACCTAGACAGCATCAGCTTCCAGCTAAGTATACTGATTGTGAACTTGATCCCAGGTTGACTTTTGGTGGTTTTGGTTCTGTGGCAAATGTAAGCAGATACCCAATCTGTTTACATGTGGATCAACTTAATCAAGTTGACAGGAAGTATGCATTGAGTGTTTTGGCACAGATGGAACCAAGATCTTATGCAGAAGCAGTGAAGTTTATTGAGTGGAAAAGAGCAGTGGAAGCTGAAATAGGAGCTTTGGATGAAAATCAAACATGGGAGATAGTGTTGTTACCTGCAGGAAAGAGGATGATAGGTTATAAATGGGTTTTCAAGATAAAACTGAAACCAGATGGAACTGTGGAAAGGTATAAAGCCAGATTGGTGGCTAAAGGTTATACACAGGTGTATGGAATAGACTTCTTGGATACATATTCTCCTGTTGCTAAAATAAACACAGTAAAAGCTTTGTTAGCAATAGCAGCAGTTAAGAATTGGACTCTAGATCAAATGGATGTTTCTAATGCTTTCTTACAAGGAGACCTAGAAGAAGAGGTTTATATGAAGGTTCCTGAGGGCATTGAAATACCAGCTGCTTTGCAGGGAAGAGAAGGACAAATTGCTTGCAGGTTGAAGAAATCTTTGTATGGGTTGAAGCAAGCTTCTAGGCAATGGTTTGCCAAGCTTACTGGATTCCTTTTGAAGAGTGGTTTTTCACAATCAAACTCAGATCATTCTATGTTCACTAAATGGATCAGAGGAAGGATTGTGATAGTGTTGGTATATGTAGATGACATTATTGTGGGTGGTGATGCACCAACTGATATTGAACAGGTGAAGAAGTCATTGAGCAGAGAGTTTAAAGTGAAGTTGTTGGGACCTCTAAAATATTTTCTTGGACTTGAAGTAACAAGAAATGCAGAGGGACTTTCAGTTTGTCAAAGAAAGTACTGTATGGATTTGTTACAGGACACTGGATATGTTGATGCAAAGGGTTGTTTGTCACCTGCAGATCCAAAGATCAAGTTGACACCAACTCAAGGAACTAGACTTGAAGATCCAGAATCATACAGGAGACTGGTTGGGAGGTTGCACTACATTACCATCACCAGATCAGATTTGACATATTCAGTTCAGCAACTTTGTCAATTTCAGAAGGACCCTCATAGTGATCATCTACAAGCAGCCTACAGAGTACTCAGATACTTAAAAAGTTCACCTGGACAAGGGATTTACTTCAGCAGCAAAGCAGACCTGAAACTTGTGGGTTTCTGTGACTCAGATTGGGCTAGTTGCCCTGAAACAAGAAGATCAACTACAGGATACTGTACATTCCTTGGAAGCTCACTTCTAACTTGGAGAACAAAGAAGCAGAACACTGTTTCGAGGTCATCATCAGAGGCTGAATATAGAGCATTAGCTCTATTGTCTTGTGAGGTGCAATGGTTAAGAAGTTTGCTGGCAGAAATGAGTGTGCAGGTACCACTACCAATCTCGATTTATTGTGATAATCGTTCAGCAATACATATTGCAGAGAACCCTGTGTTCCATGAAAGAACGAAACACATAGAGATAGACATCCATGTTACAAGAGAAAGGATTAAGTTGGGATTAATCAAGTTGCAGCATGTTAGTACTGTGAACCAGCTTGCAGATTTGTTCACGAAGGCAGTGCACAGGGTGAGGCTGAAAGAACTACTGGACAAGTTGGGAATCAGAATGATATCCACAACTTGAAGGGGGGTGTTGACTGAAGAAGAAGTGAGAAGGAGTAGCAGATGAAGAATCCGAGACCAAGAAGGATTCGCAGCAGCTATGAAGAAAGGAGGAAACGATGTCGGATTGAAGAAAGAAAGGAAGAAGAAGTAAAACACGCTGTCGTTTTATTTAATGCTGTACTAGCCGTTAATTAACAGTAAGACTGTTTTGTAATAGCCAATGTCTCTCTGACATGTGGCAAAACACTGTTATTGGTTTGTAAACAGAGGTATATATACAACCTCCTGCAGCCCTTCTTCGATAAGGGTACTGCATTTCTAAAACCCTCATACAAAATTCACAGATCTCGACGAGGCGGCCGCCGAGATCGTCGTCTTCCGATGCACAATGCACGATCAGTATCTTGCTGCTTAGCTTGTTGGTGATCTGGATCGTCCGTTGAATCGACGGGTGCGCCATGAGTATCATAGCCGTCGCTAAAACAACCGCTGGCAGTAACTTTTTTGGGACAGCCATTGTGATGTTGATATACAGTTTCGTGTTAATAATCCTTCTATTAATAGTGTGCGATGAGGATGAGGTTATAATCAATTATCTGTTACGTAATCGGATGGTTCAGCGGTTAATTATTATACAACTGTTTGTTGGTTAGCGTAATCAGAATTTTGTTGAGGGTAGGTTCATTTAGAAAAAAATGAACACGACAAAATATTTTTTTTTCTTTTTAAATCATTCGGGATATAATTTTATATTTACAAAACTTGATAATTTAAATATATGTCGAAACTATCAAAAATATCACTCTATATGTCCAGAAAAATTATTCATAATTTGGTTAGACATTTTCTTTTGAATGATGTTATTTGTCAATATCGTTTAGTATCAATAACTCGAGTTGTTGAGAAATGTTTAATTATAAAACTTATACTATTTAATATTTGCTAACACTTCCTCGCTAACGAAAACCAACTTATATGTTCTTAAAGTTTTCGCAAATCGAAATATTATGTGCTTAACAAATGGGGTGGTCATCAAGATTTGAACACATGATCTCTCGATCAACCATTCTCAATTAGAAGTGTCATAAATGGCTAAATTTCATTCTCAATGAAATATTATTCTAATTTCCTCTTCTTCGTCATTATGAGCCACCCGTTACACTCTCTCTAACTCTGATTGAAATAAATTATTTTTGTAAATTAGTTATGATTTGGTGGAAATTTGTAGTAGATATTGAATAAGTACATCTTTAATTGTGAACGGATCATATCCTAATTTAAATACATGTTATTTTTCATACTTGATTAACTATTACTCCTACTTTATTATTTTTCCTCCCGAGCCAGGGTGGGTCTCTGGACCCACCCTCTAACCTTCTCCCTCCGCCACTGGTTGGTTAATCATTGAATAGAAACGATCATGCTATAACATAAAAGACGTATATAATACGCTAATTTAGGACCGGATTTATTACTAACTATAAACAATTTTAAATCTATATATCATTCATCACCAAAAAGTTGTAACAAATCATTCAAACTATATCATTAAAAAATCATATATTCTCTTATAAATTCAAGTCAATGATTAGCGTGGCGGCCCGTAGTGAACTACATATAGTCGACAAGGAGGATGGGAAATGAGAAAAACATAAAGCATAAATAAAATTGGTAATTCAGGTTCGATGGTCTCAGCTTACATTGAAAATTTCCCCCTTAATTTTTTCGCAAAAGTTAAAATGCTAACAAGCCCTTTTGTTAGCAGATACTAACTCGTATCTAAAATGGCTGAACTAGTATCCACCTTATAGACAAAATTATGGCTACTGAAAATATTTCGATAAAACTAGAAAAATTAGGAAAACAAATAGATGAATATCAAGAAAATCTAATAAATATATTAGAAGACAATAATAAACAATTAAAATCAATATTAGAATATCAAGGTAATGAAAAACAAAAAGATATATATTCAGATTTAGAACACGCTAAGGATACAATTACCAATATAATAGTGGATATAAAACAAAGAGAAATAGCAATGGGAAAAACAACTCCAAATTCTAAGGAAATAGTATTACCGGTAGAAGATCTTAAGGAAATCATTATTAAACTTCAAAAAATAATAATTAAATTAGATAATAAAAGGAGCATTACAATTGAAGATATAAAAGAATATTTGAATGAGCATAAATCAGGAAAATCTAGCCCATTAACTATCATGGCACCCTACAAACTTCTATGACTAGTATTGACGAACAAATTAATAAATTAAACGATTTACTAGCCGCAATTACTATTGAATCAGAACCAGAGATAGAAGAAAATATAGAAAACGATAAAATAGTTCTTGACTATAGTAGCGACGAAAACCCCTATAAAAATTACACAAATACAAATTACACAAAAACTGAAACTGAGGATCAAGCTGAAACATCACGAAAGCGTGATTTTAATGACTATAAAGATGGTCAACTATTTTTTGATGAATACTTATATAAAAATTCGTATACACCTCGCAAAGGGGGAGGATGGAGTAAAATACCTCAATCTTACATACCAAAATATTCCACCACTAGTTTTAACAGCCCTGATATATTAGATCTTGATTGTTGCGTCAATCCATTAAAAGAATTAGAAGACTGGAAAAATCGAACAGGATTACTAATACAAACTAATGGCTAAATTACATATTTGGTCACTCAAATTACAAAAATCTTTCACGTTTGCCATCCGAATTATTTTTCTTTCTTATTGACCATTAACTTTACGAATCGTTTCACCGTTGGTCACTGGCCGTTAGTCTCCGTTAACACCGTCAGATTTTTGATGACGTGGCAAACAGAATTGCTGACTAATCCGTTAACTTAATGACATGTCAATTAAAAAATAAAATAAAAAATAAAAAAACATTACACCTCATTCTCTTCTCCTCCCTCTTCGCACGACTAGCAGTCCGACCGGAAGGAAGACCGCCGCCCTCCTCCTCCGTTCAGGTCGCAGCCGCACCAGAGACCAGACCCGCCTCACCAGTTTCCAAATCCAAGTACTTCAACGACCTTAACTGCAACAAGCTATCAGGCGAAGGCATTTCAACCTGGACTGAACTGAAATCCAAGTCCAGTTTTTCCAAATTGGTTAAGAAACTGCCAAGCCAAGATGGAATAGCAGCACCCAAATCCTGATTCCCACGCACTATAATAAGACTATCAGGCAAAACACCATGGAATTTTTTGTGGCTCAGGTCAAGGGTTCTGGAGTTCTTCAACCAACCAAAGCAAGTTGGGACTTCACCTAAAAATTTGTTCCTCTAACGAATCAGGACTCAAGATCGACAAACTTGCACATGTTGGGATGAATTCGACCTAAAAGATTCATGGCTTTGAAATCGATTGAGATAATTCGGCCTTGTGGTTGTGGCATCCAATCCCCGTCCAATTTGTGCAGTTGGAACCAAACAATGGAAAAATCAAAACAAAAGAATAGAGGGAGTCGAAACCTTCAACTGCCCTGACATCTAATTGTCGACGAGAACGTCCCCCGTTAGGTCTGTCTCCAGTGAAATTCCAACACAGGTCTCGACCATCAAGTTCAAGAAGAGAAAATAAAATCAAAATTGAAACTCCTTATACTCAGAATCCAAAGAAAACCTTAAAAATCGACAAGAATTGAAAAGGAATAGACCACTTACCGTTCTTTCTCTCGCCGACGAGGAGAGCAGAGCAGCGGCAGATTACGATCGAGGGATGAGAGGATAATGCGATTTGGGGTTCTTATTTGTCTGGGTTTGATAGAAGAGGGAGACAGAGAGTAGGTCGAGAAGAGAGGGAGAGATGAATGAGAGATTCGGTTGATTTTTCTGTTCCTTGTCGATCGCTCTTCAGAGGCAATCAGAGAAGATAAAAGGTGAGAAAGAAGAGGAATCGCACGAGAAGCAGAGAGGAGGGAGGAGGACGGCGGTGACGAGAAGGAAGGAATAGGGGAAGATTGATGAGCATTAATATTTCTTTTTTGCTTTATTTTTGTTTTTTAATAAAAAATTCCATCTCAGCTTTTGTCAGTCCGGTCAGCAGTTCTGTTTGCCATGTCATAAAAAATTTAACGGCGTTAACGGAATCTGACGGAGACTAACGGTCGGTGACCAACGCTGAAACGATTCGTAAAGTTAGTGGCCAATAAGAAAGAAAAGTAATTTGGGTGGCAAACGTGAAAGATTTATATAATTTGAGTGACCAAACGTGTAATTTAGCCACAAACTAATGAAGATCTAAAAAAATTACACCCTAATGAAATGTTTAATTTCTTAATATATAAAACAACTGGGGCAGTTTATCATTATCTTAACAACATGGATATTCCTACTAAGACAACGTTATATGGAACAACGGATGCGACGAATACCTTTGAAAAAGTCTTAAATGCAATAACTCATGAATTCTTAGGACGACATCCTCGAGAAGATAAACCAAACACAACCGTAAGTCAACAAGCTATTTGGCATTTAACTAATCTTAGAATCTGCAACATGTGCTTCTTAGAACCATTTATTTGTGAATTCAGAACACACTATTATCAAGTCACCCCTTCGATAAGAAAAGAGCTAGATAAATTACTATATGCTAAATTACCACCTAATGTCTCTGAAAAAGTCGAAGCTATCTTTAATGAAACTTTGGCAAAAGAAGAAATACCAGATACATTAGGAGGACGAATATTAGTTTTACAAGAATGGCATAAACGAGCTTGCAATAAGGAAAAACTAAAGAAACAAGCTAAAATTAAACTCTGTTGTGAAGAAACAATGGACAGAGTTGGAAAGTATGGGTGTAATGATGATCGTAAGATCATTAAAACTCGGAAAAAATACAGAAATTATAAAAAATGGAGAAAAATACCTTATAAAGAATATAGAAAAAATAGGTTTAGAAAACCAAATAAATATTTCAGAAATAGAAAACAGTTTAAACAAAAATCAAGACAACAAGAATACTGTCCTAAAGGAAAAACAAATTGTAGATGTTGGTTATGTAACGAAGAAGGACATTACGCAAATAAATGTCCTAAGAAAAATACTAACACTAGAAAACAAGAAGTCCTTAGATTAGCTTACGATTGTGGTTTTGAACCAATCGAAGAAACAGATTTTGAACTTTCCGATATAGAAATTATTGAATATATTTCAACCTCAGAAACCTCTTCAGATGAGTCAGAAGAAGGTATTAACTAAGGGCAATCCTAACGCAACATTTATTAAAATTGAAATAGAGAAGAAAAGCTTCTTAGCATATATTGATACAGGGGCAACCTTATGTTTTGCCAAAAAATCAACCATAAAAAATGGGATAAACTTGAAAAACCTTTAAAAATTATAGTGGCAGACAAATCTATCCATGAAATTTGGTATGTAAAACAATATGTACCAATAATCATTGAAAAAAATATCTTCACAGCTAAAACAATCTATCAACATGACTCAGGACTAGATATAATAATAGGAAATAACTTTCTAAAATTATATCAACCATTTATCCAAAGGATTAGAACAATCAGCCTTAGATGTCCTAAAACAATAGACCAGGAATCTAAGATAATCACAACAAGAATAATCACAAAAAATGAAGTGCTAAAAATTGTACTTCAAAACCTCAAAAATAGACTAGAATATATACAGATTACCTATAGCATTCTAGAGGATACTTTAGACCAGGTGTGTAGTGAACATCCTTTCGATAAAGATAAAAATACCAATCAAGAACTTATCGAAATTAAACTAAAAGATCCTAAAATGGAAGTTAATGTCCCTAACAAAATTCAATATACTCAACGAGATGTAGAAGAATTCCAAAGGGAATGTTCAGAGTTAGCTGAAAAGGTATTATACGAGAAAGTAAAAGTCCTCACAGTGCACCAGCCTTTTATGTAGAAAATAATAATGAAATCAAAAGAGGAAAAAGAAGAATGGTAATAAACTATAAAAAACTAAACGAACAAACAATAGGAGATAGCTATAAACTACCTAGGAAAGACTATATATTAGAAAGATTAAAAGGTCAAACGTGGTTTAGTAGTTTAGATGCTAAATCTGGATATTGGCAACTTCGTCTACATGAGAATACCAAACCTTTAACAGCCTTTTCATGTCCACCACAAAAACATTACGAATGGAATGTTCTCCCATTTGGAATGAAACAAGCACCAGCTATTTACCAACGGTTCATGGATCATGTATTAGAAGGTTTTCAATCGTTCTGTTTAGCATACATTGATGATATTATTATTTTCACAAATCAATCAGAAGAAGACCATCGTGAAAAAATCTGGATAGTTTTACAGAGAATAAAAGAAAAAGGTCTCATTATCTCTAAGAAGAAATCGAAACTTCTTCAAAGAGAAATTGAATATCTTGGTATGAAGATTAATAATTTGGGTGAAATTGAGTTGTCACCAAACACTAAAGAAAAAATTGATAAATTCCCAAACCAATTTGAAAATAGAAAACAAATTCAACGTTTTCTTGGATGCTTAAATTATATAAGCAAACAAGGATTTTTAAAAGATTTAGCAAAAGAGAGAAAACATTTACAGAAAAAGATTTCTGACAAAATCCCTTGGTCATGGAATGATCAAGATACAAAAATAGTTTTATTAATGAAGGAAAAATGTCAGCATTTACCAAAATTATATAACCCTTGTGAAAACGATTTTCTAATAATTCAAACGGATGCCTCTAAGGACACTTGGGCAGGGTGTATGTTAGCAATACAAAATGGTAAGGAATTATTACAAATGGACAATTTTGGTAATGTCAAAATAGACAATAACGAGGCTACTGTCTCTGTCCAAGAGCCTAAAGATTATCAGTCTTCGGACAATATTATTGAACTTTCAAGTTCTCAATCATCAGTTCCTTTCAACAGTGATAAATATTCTAAGAAATTATGTAAATATATTTCTGGAACGTTTACCGCCACTGAACAGAACTATCCGATCCACGAATTAGAGACACTAGCCTGTCTCAGAACATTGAAAAAATGGAAGCTTGAATTATTATCTACAAGGTTTGAACTTCAAACCGACTCTAAATATGTAACAGGTTTTTGGAGGTACAAGCTTCAGGCAGATTTCAACAAAGGGAGATTAATCAGGTGGCAGCAACAACTCCATTATTACAATCCTTATATGAAGTATATCAAGTCCAGCAACAATCCATTCACAGACACACTGACTCGAGAATGGAAGGATTCATAAAAACCCTCATCAATCAACTAAGGCAGAAGCAGGAAAAGAGTGCAGCACTGGAACAACAACTTCTCCTTTGCAGGGGGGAGGAAGAAGCAATAATTCAATCAATCGACGTCATTCAGCTACAGTTAAAAATCAACTACATCAACGTTAGTACATTAACAACTAGCTCCACTGTGGAGGACCAGAAATGACCGAGTCTTTGCGAACAAGGTCATTACAGTTGAAGGCTTCCTTCAGCGCGTCCAGGCATGGTTAACTGTCGTGAGGACTGCTTTGGACAAGGACAGGAAAACCCACTATCCTGATCCGCCCGCAAGAACGGAGGAGTTGATCGCTTGGACGCCGCCTCCTCCCGAGTGGGTCACTCTCAACTCAGACGGCTCCGTTTTGCCTGAGACAGGTCTTGCTGCTGCAGGAGGCCTGATCAGGGATCACCTAGGACGCTGTATGGCAGCGTTTGCTATGAACCTGGGAATTTGCTCTATTACCAGGGCAGAGTTGAGAGGCGCTGTTGAAGGGCTTCAACTGGCTTGGGACATGGGTTACAGACATGTCCGCATGGATCTTGATTCCCGATGTGCTATTCAGCTGATTCAGGGAGAGGATACTGCAGACCACCAGCACGCGGCGGTCATCGACCGTTTCCATGAGCTGCTTCGGCGTGACTGGGATGTCAAAGTTTCCCATATCTATAGAGAGGGGAACAAGAGCGCCGACTACCTTGCTTCTAGAGGTCATAAGCTGGACATTGGATTTCATTTTGTACCGGTTACTGATCCTGCTTTATGGTTTTATCTCCTGTATGACATTGAAGGGGTTTCCGAATCCCGGCTGGTTTTGAATGAAGGTTAGGATGCTTCGCATCCATTTATCAAAAAAAACAACTAGCTCCACTAGTGGAAAGCCATCAACATCCACCACTACCAGCAATAATATACAAAAGACGACACGATGGGCAGACATCGTTGAACAAGAAGAAAAAGAAACAAAAGATTCCCACTATGAAGAAGACGACAGAAAATGCAGCAAGTGGTATGTCATATTTAATGGACCATACCGAGGAGTATATCATAACTGGGCCATTGCTAGCCAGCACATCAACGGCAAACCAGTCCAACATCAATCGTTTAAAACAAAAGAAACAGCAGACGAAGCATATAGACAATCATACAAGGTGATGGCAATGAAAGAACCAGCCAAGAATCAAGAGCAACAATCGCAGAAACTCGTCATGAAGATTCCCAGTATCAAGAGCATCCTAACCACCAAGGAAAAAGAAGAGCAACTAAAACCAATCTTTCAGAAGTTCATATCCAACTGGGATATGATAATCAACTATGAAGAAAAACACACGACCATGGGTTTCTACCCCGTCAGTCGAGGAGGACCCAAAGCAGTAATCACAGAAGAAGCATCACCAGAACTCTCTTTTGAGTTCCATCAATATGGATTAATCGACACTATCTACACTACAACCATGAAGGTATTTGAATACTTCCCACAAAGAATGAGGAATGTAATCAGAAGATATCTCGAGCTATTTGCCAAGGAACGAGAAATATTTCTCAAGTATACAAGCAGCTACCCTGTATTCGATCAAGACAAACTATTGATCGGATCAAAGGCAGTTATCCTCATGGGAGTATCAAACCATGATTACCCTACCAGAGATGACCTACGAGACTATGAGAAGAACCCACACTACCAAGTAAAGGGTCTTCTTGCAGTATGCAGAGCATTAACCAAAATTGAACCGGAAAGCCAGATTAAAGTCAATTACAGCAGCCCCGATGCCATCATCACCAGCAAAACAAGAGGAAACATGACCAAAGAAGAATGGGCAATCATAACAGATAAAATTAAGGAATTCACGGAAATTAATGGGAATCTGTCAGCCCTTCCCATTCAAATCAAGAAACAGTTATGCAATGAGCTTACTATCTATGAAGACCATCTCTGTGAGTGGTGTGCAGCAACTGACGAAGACATCAGTGGACCAGCAGACCAAGACTGACAGAAGCATGTGAAGAAAAAGGAATCAAACAAATATGAAATAAAGCGACAAAAGAAGGTTGGCCGACTCCTTTAAAAAAGTCGTGCATTATTGTATTTTATCAGCTTTTCTTATCGTTTCGCGCACTTTTGATGTGTTAGCTTTACGTCCCTGTCTAACAGACGTAAGCAATGACGTCTTTGTATTTCCTCTCAGCTCTATATAAGAGCAAGAGTTTTCAATGAAATAAGGCAGAACGAGTTTGGCCATAAAATTGCCTGTTTACTCTCTCCCTCTAGCTAGCTAGTTGTAAGGCTTGGATCCACTGATCCTGGAGGCCACAATCATCTTCAATATAATCAAACGCACGGAAAGAAGCTACAATCATCAAGCGATCATCAAAAGGCTCAGAATTTCATCAGAAAAGCAAGTCAGGTATGTCTGATAATCCTACCTCAAGTTATTTTGACTATTTAAACAAAAATGATAATGAAAACTACTTCTTAGATGGTGTAATAGACATTAAGAAAATTAGAGAAAAAACTAATTTTACTATTTCAGAAACTCAAAACTTTATCACTAAGTCTTTTTTATCAAAACTCTTCGATAGAGAAAATATTATTAAATATGGCAAAATGATAGGTGAAGTAGCAGTCCCTATTGATCAAACTAAGGGTGATTTCCTAATCCAAGTAATAAACAAAGAACAAATCAGAAAAAAGGTTAGCTAAACTAAGATCAGAAGAACGAAATAAAATAGCTTATATTCATATTAGTACAATTCAAATTATATTAAAATCAACCATGAAAATAGGAATTGACGCACCCATGGAATTAGAAATTCGTGATGATAGGCTCCTAAACGAAGAAGAAAGTATTATTGCTAAAGGAACGGGAAATTTAGGAGTAGGAATAATTAAATTTGATATTAACCTGCAACAAGGATTAAGCCTGGCAGATGGTAATCTCGACTCTTCTATCATTATAAAGTACGAATTAAAAAGAGAAAATTTTATGAAAGAAAATAGCAAGCCATTTTCAGTAACTTATCAAATAAACAATGCATTAACAAATAGTCACCACAGCTTAACCTTCAAAAATAAGGAAGTAATTACTATAGAAGATTTATTTAAACCTTTAATTCAACTAGAAGCACCATTAAAAACTGTTAGAATAGAACCTAGTCGACCATCGATAACCCAAGATCAAAGACGATTAATTAAAACACAATCAGAGAGAATTAGGCATATCCCAGTAATAGAACAAAATTTAGAACAATAAGAGATAACCAATAATCAAGTGAATAAATTAATTGAAGAGATAACCAATAATCAAGTAATAAATAAGCTAGAAAAATTGCAACATTCAATAGCAAATTTAGAGAATAAAATCTAAATATGCCTACTAACTATCATATAAATAAATTAATTGAAGGATTAGATGCTATAAATCTCACCTCAATAAATTATATCAGTACAGTCATACAAGAATTGACTTACTTTGCCTCAGAAATTGTAGAAGAACAAATGAATATTGGAACCACAGAAACATTAGAAGAAACTATCTCTAAAACCGAATTAATTACTGATATAATAACTAGCTTAAACAAAATTAAACAAAGATTATTAAATCAGTAAGTCTAGGACTAAAACATGGTATCAGAGCCCAAACCGATCAACTACCCGAATTATTTAATTCACAAAGACTTGGGTATTAGTTCATACATTATTAGATATCAGTTAGTATATACTAACAAAAAGACCAGTTAGCAGATTAACCAGGTTGAATTTTTTGGTGGTTGATACTTAAGTTAACCTGTCGACCAATCAGATCGGGGATGTTCATTACCTGATTTCATGTAATATCTTTAAAATCATCAGGTCCATTGCTATCTGTTCAAACAAATAAACTGAACCGCTATCATAATTAGTTTGTTTGTCGTACAACTCACCCAATCGCTGATCAATTCGATTCTTATAAAAATACTAATATAATCGGTCTCTTGTACATTAAATAAAAGAGGGTTAGCTCCCTCTGCAGCTTTGGTTTGACTGGCCTTTTCGTCGTCTTTGCAAGAGTTCTGTCGCCGTTAGAAGGGAAACCGATCGGCGAGACCCTCTTCGCCAATGTAAGTGGGAAGATTCACCAATACACAAAACTCAGTTGAATATTAATTAAATAACCATTTTTGCCGCACAGTAGAGATGCCAAATCACACTCCTAGTTGAACAAAACTTCCAAGAGGCTAGTACCATCCAAAAGTTGTAAATAATGTTTTCCATAAAAAAAAATGGAAATAACGTTGGTAAACAATTTTGAATGGAAAGGCCCAAAGGGATAGGGGTACAAAATCCACCTCTACAAAATCATATCTACAACTGTCTTTTTGAATGGTATTTAACGGTCTAGATTTATTTACAACAGAAAAAGATGAAGAAGCGGACTGATAATTCCATCACCTCCTGTCATCTTTCATTTTTAGAATGACACTTGACACGGATTCATATGAGAGATAAGATAGTTATCTTATTCTCTATTTTTCTTAATTGAATCATATATATATATATATATAACATTCATGATTTTTATAATGATATCCACTTTGCTATATTTTGAGCAAAGAAAAAATTAACTCTTGAAAACATTTTTACGTTGTAGTATGATCGCGGTCATATCTATCATATCATCATGACATGACGATGGTATGATAACATATCTCTTTTATTTTAACTTATAATTTTGTATAAGATGTACGCATTAATGAAGATATGTACTATGATATCTATTTTATCATTATTTTCTAAATATAAGATCTCGTACTAACATCATATCAGTGTCATAGCAACATCACATAAGAGTCATAGCATGATATTATCACTATGATGACACTGATATGATGTCATTAAATTATTTTGATAAGTATAAGACCTCATACCAATACATACTAACATTATATCAACATCATATCCACTATGATATCATAGATTTGTAAATGATAATATCGTGATGAGATAAAAAAAATGTGCTCCAAAAATATGAAAATGAAAAAACCTATGTAAAGATTATTGAAATCCTATGGAAAAACAAATGAGGTATGTTCCTATGAATGGGAATTAGAAAAATGCTTTACATACCGTTTGGTATAAATGAATTCCATAAGTTTTAAGAAATTCATTTTGGAATCAAACATTTTTGTGTTTCGTATTTAACAGAATTCAATTTCTATTCTAAATTTTGAATTCTATGGAATTGGCACTAGTTATAGCAGTTCCGAGAAATTGAGATGGAATTTCCAAATGAATTCCACAAGTATTTACTAATTATAACATAATTATATAACTATCCTCTTTTATTAACTAAATTACTTAAATATATGACATACCAAACACATGAATTCTACATGATAATTCATTTTATTTCTAAAGATTTGAATATGACATACCAAACACAATATTTCATTTGACAGTGAATTCTACAAGGTAATTCATTTTACAATGAAATGAATTCTCGATTCATTTAGTATCAAACGGTCTGTTAATTGCATACCTATAATTACGCGCTGACATCCAAAAATCTGATTAGCTCTCTCTAAATCGCTTATTTCCCTCCTTTCCCTCTACGATAACTCGATAAGGACCATTTATATTAGGTTTTGTAGAATTACAAAATATAACCTGCCATCATTTTGAATTATTGGAAAATAGATGAATCATTAACTATTGCCTATATTTGGCCCGACTTTTAGAAGTGTTTTTCGGCTTCAAAAGCTGAAGCAGGCCAAACGCCTATAAAAGCTCGGCTTTTGAAAAGCTGAAAAGTGCTTTTGTATAACATAAAAGGAAAAGCTTCGATTTGGAGCTTCTGTGAAAAGTTGTTTTGAAAATACAAGATTATCCTGACCATATTTTAATTTTCTTTCATAAAATATAATTTTATTTCATTAACATTATTTTAAAATAAAATAAAAAATAAAATCCTATTATTTAATTTAAAAAAAATCTAACAAGATACATTTTGACTACTTTTTTTTTAACCAAAGATAATCATAAATATATTGATAAGCTCAGAAGTTACACCCTGGATCCAACCCAGGCACGAAAATCATACAAACGACACGAGGCCGGAGACAAAGAAAGGGTCTTTCTAGCCACTGAATGGGCTACCCTATTGCTATACCGACCGACGAACCGAACATAAAAACCACTATTCACCCCTAGCAGGCTCAAAATCTCCGCGATTATAGCTCCTACCTGACTATCCCGTGCATCTTTTGCATTTATTTTGTTAATGAGTATCTTTGCATCACCTACAAACCTCACTTGAGGGACGCCAAGGCCCTAACACCAATTAAGAGCTTCACGCAGGGTAATAGTCTCTACCACCAGGGGGACAACCACACCCTCAATAACCAACCCTTTTGCTGCCACCACAGTCCCACCTCTATCCTTAACAATCAGCCCTCCCGCTGAATGGGAGCCAGCACAGACCACACCATCCCACATACAGACAAGAGGTGCCCTATCCTCCTCGGCCTGATGATGCTGAGAATAACCCGGTCCACAATCAATCGATCCTCAGGCAACGACACCCACTCATGTACCTGCTGATGATATTGGTGCATCAGCAGGGAAACCAAGAATTGTTTGCCCTCAAAGGCTGCCCAATTTCTTGATTTCCAAATACGCCAGAGGAGCGGTACCAAGGCCCTAACTTGATCTGGCTGAGTCAATCGAAGCAAACACCTCTTAAGAAACAACGGGAAAGTATGTCGAGGAAGGTCTTGGCCCAAATGCTCCAACCCCGAATGAGCCGAGAGAGCTTCAGCGACTGGACACTCCCAAAACAGGTGCTCCATCGACATAGTAATTTTACATAATCTGTCTTATTATAAAATATTGTCGACATGACCCATTGCCATCTCTCTCTCTTCTCTGCAATTCCTCTCCTTCTTCCTCTAATTCTTGTTGAGCTGATCCACAGTGTCACAACGTGGTATCAGAGCCTTCCTAGCATCATGGTGACTACTAATTCTCGTTTGGCTCGGATTGATGAGCACTTGATGGATTTTGATCACCGTTCGCCCGCCACGGAAGTTGGAACCTATCGCAGTTCTTGCCATGAGGGTTGTAGAGCATGATAATAAGGCTGCTACTCACTTTTGATTCAGTGGTCACACCAGTAAGAAGAAAAAGTCACAATTGGGAGTTCTGGGACGAGTTGAAGCAGAAGTACCCAGACTTTTCAACTTGAGGACAAGTCTCAGCTAAAGGGGTGGGACTTGTAACAGTTGGGGTTATTTAGTAATAAGATAGAAAGGGGAGGATTATTCTGTAAGTAGTGGTTGACAACTGTCAATCTAGGAGCAGATACTTAAGTGTCCGTTGTAAAGGTTGTTCGATCATCGGAGTAATAAGAAAACTACTTTTCCCTCCCAACTTCTCTCTCTCTCTCTCTCTCTCTCTCTCTCTCTCTCTCTCTTCTCTGCAATTCCTCTCCTTCTTTCTCTAATTCTTGATGACCTGATCTAGAGTGTTATAGTATACACAAAACATGGCTTTCTTTCAACGTGTGCTTCGTTTTACTTTGCGTATAATAAGGATGTTCATATCGTGGCAGAACAAGCACATTTAATGTTGGATTAATAAGGATGCTCATAACGAAAGAAAGGCGCTTATCGATCTTCCATCATTAAAAATAACAATTAAGTTCTCATTTGGATAACCTTGATCATACGTGACGAATGAAAAATGCTTATCATCCACCATTACGTATATTCACAACAAGAAAAATGAGGTTCAACAACTATTTTCTTAGCGACCATAAGAAAATGATTGCTGATAACTAGGCTTTTGGCAAAACCTTTGAGCAACCATCGTAAAATGATCGTTAATGGGTCAAAAATTTTGCAACTATTTGTAAAATGGTTGCTGATACCTAACTCTTCAACAACCATTAGTTAAATGGTTGCACAAAGTCGATACTTCACCAACCATTATCAAACTAGTTGCTCATACTATCCCTGTGTTTTTTTAGGAAGGAAAAGGAGGGGAGGGGAAGGGAGGGAGGGGAAGGGGGTTTCCCAATACGTTTTCCCCCGTTCTCCAATGACTGAACAGTGGGGAGGGAAAGGATTTAGGGAGGAAGATTCACTGTTGGAGTAGTCCCTCCAAAATGGAGAGAAAACAAGTTGGGCCCTTTTTTATTTTTTTATCCTATTCAAAATACTGAAATAGCAACAAAGGTAGCTTTGTTGTCCCAAATTCTTTCTTTATTTTTTTTCCATTTCAAAATGGCTACACGTATAGAAGCTTTGCCCATACTTTTTTATTTTTTTATCCTTTTCAAAATACTGAAATAGCAACACATGGTTAATTTACTGAAAACAAAGTATAGAAGCTTTGCCCATAATTTTTTTTCGTAGCTTTTATTATGAAAAGGAAACTTATAATTATAGATTGATAGTTGGGGAATGTATGTTCGAGATCATTATATAGTAAAATCACATTTGAGTTTGGGGTACGATTTTTTCGGTAGAACTGTTTGCGATTTTCACATTTAGCTAACGACATAGTACAAATAGCATATCGAAAGTTTCATAATATAAATGACACATTAGATAAAGATTGCTATATTTAGTTGTATTAGTCCTTAAAAATGAAAATGGTAATGATTGGTTATTCATGAAATTCATTTCAACATATAATTAAATTATTTTACTATAACATAACCAATAAAATAACATGTACATCACACTTTTCAATATAATCCGATATGAATACTTTGTCACATGAATTTTATAATTGCCGGAAAAAACAACATATCTATCAGACTATCACACTTTCCTATATACTTTTTCCCTCCCTCTATCCCTTTCACTTTCCCCCATAAAACAACATTTTCTCTCCAATTCTCTTCCCCTCCAATTTTCCTTCACCTCCAAATTTTCTCTCCCCTCCCCTCCTTTTCCTCCCCTACTTCAGAAACAGGGGGTATATGTTTGAGCAACAATTGCTTAAATGGTTGCCGAAAAGTCAATACTTCACCAATCATATCAAAATCGTTGTTGATACTTGTTGCTTTAGAAACTATTACTTAAATGGGTTTCTATTGAGAAAAGTTTGTTCTTAATGAATACTGCTCCACCTAAAATATCATTTTCCTACTGGCTCTAGATTTGGTATCTTAGGGGTCGTTTGGAAGTTGCGATAGTTTTGTTGAGATTGTCATTATGCATGTATTGTTTACAATGCATCATTTTTTTGTTTTTTTAGCAGAAACAATACATGAATTGTTTCTGTGATGTGACAGAAACTATCACTCATTTTAAGTGATTGTTATATCTCAACTTTTAGTTGTGATTGTTGAGATACACTACAAAAAAAACAGGCTTTAACGAGGGGGGAAAACAGTCGTTAATTGTACTAAAACCGTCGGCAAAGAGCATTAACGACGGGATCCAACCCCTCATTATTGGCTTTGCCGGTAAAAGTCAATAACGACCGGAAAATAAGATCCTGTCGTTAAAAGCTTTAATGAGAGTAGCCACATCCGGTCGTAAAAATTAAAATTTCCCTACTAGATTCGTTAGTATTGCTGACGGGACTACCCTCGCTAATATATATGCATGGAAGAGTGTTGCTGTCGTTATTAGCACTACAAGTAGCCGAAGTCAGTTACTGATTTTTGCTGAATGTTTTGATCATACAATATCCATATAGCTATTGTTGTTCAAAACTTAATATTCAACATTTAAAATATGAGATCTTACTGAAAGTACACCCAATAACCGATGATTAAAGTATGTTTTCTGTATTCACCAAAAAAAATGTATCCTGTCAATATGCTTTACAAAATAAAAAACAGTTATCTTGACTCTTGATACAAGCTACTTAATACTATACTAGCTTTGTAAATGGTTGGAGCAATTGGATCCATTTCTTCTGCTTCTTAAAGCTTCTTCGATTTCCTAAACCTTGCTATATCCATTGAATTTCCTGTTGGGACAATGCAAAAGAGACTCACATTATTAATACTTATATCTTTGAAAATGGAGTTCATACAAAGATATGAATTAACAGATAAGAAATAGTTAGTATATCAAAAGAAAATAAAATCAAGGAAAGAAGACATACCAGTTGAAACTTGCATCAAAAGTAGAAGAATTAGCAAAACCAAAAAAGTGCAGCTTGTTAAACACAAGTCCAACAATAATAATGCAGCAGGCTGTAGAAACTAATGAAAATATGTAGAAGGAGAAGGGAATCGAGTGATGCCAACAAGATTGGATCAAACATACTGAGCCAATTGATTCTAACTGAAACATCCTGAATACAAGTTAAAGAAGATTTAACTTATATCAGATATAATGACTACACTTATATGTACTGAAATAAAGTTCATCATTGCACTCACACTAGAGAATACTAATGGTATATATATTAAGTTCAACTAAGTAGTAGAAGATGCATCATTTAACACCAATTCCTAATGGGAAAGCTTAATGAGTTGAGAGAAACAAACGCAAATCAAGGTAAGGGAGGCAAAACTATACAAAACGTTCACATTTCATCCCCAAACTAATTATTGATAAAAAAAACAAGAAACATCATGATTTCCCCTTCAACTCAACTCCCTGTTTCAACTGGAATTGAAAGAAAAGTATAGAGCAAAGATAAATGTTCTCCTCACTTACCCAAATCTGACCTCATACTAGAGCAGTATCTTATTTATGGGGAGCGTAGGTAAAACTAGCAACAAACTAAGAGGCAGTATCACCCATTCAACTGTGAAAAAAATTGACCAAACTCACCTTCCATCAAGCAACAAAATCGAGAATGCATCGACATCATCCTCTTCCTCATCTCTCCATTTTCCTTTCATGCAGTTGCTCCACCTAACAATTCAAAACTGCAGCCGAAATAACCACTCCACCAACAAAAGCACCAAGGAAGAAGACACACAACAAACTAAGAGGCTAGGAAAAGTACAGGGTGCAGGGCAAGCGAAAAGAAACAAGTCCAGACCTTGATTAAGCAAAGGTGACTCCACAAATCTAACCAAAAACACTTCTGGAAAGTAATGGTGCTTCAATTGGACAAAGCAACCTCTAAATAGACTTCGATTTTGCTTTGAATCAGAACCCTAATTAAGACAAAACCCTTCACCAACACAAAAACCTTGGAATTAAACCTAGGAAAAGAGTGCGACGGGTTCGGTGGGAAGATGAGGAACGGTGATGGCAGTCTGCAGCGGCAACTAGTAATGGCCGGAGGGAGCTCGACTTCGACAGTTGGGATGAACTCACATGACGAAGAACTGGCGAGCAAAGATGATTTGCGAGCCGGAGGTGGAGGAGAGTTGGCCAACGATGAGAAGGCGGCGGTAAGCAGTGCTATGTGGTTGGTGTCCGGCCGCTTCGGAAGGGGAAATTTTAGGGATTCAAAGAATCTGGAGCCAAAGAAAATGATTTGAAGAAACGAGAGTTGGGAAAGTTAGACTGATAAACAGAGAGTTCAATGACTTTTCTGTTGGAGAGAGAAGATTTGAATAATTTTGGATGTGAAAGAGCAATGAAACCCGCGAAGTAAAAAATGTTAGGCGGGCTGTCCAAATTTTTTGGTGAGTGGAATCCCGAGGGGCCTTGGCCCATCGTTGATTTGTTATGGAGCAGTAGTGACGGTAGATTTAAGGTAATAACGAGCGAAAATATTGCACCTTCACTAATGTTCAAATGCAAATGGAAAAGTATCATGTAACGACAGTTTTTCATCCCCGGCATTTTCTCCCCTCGTTATTGCCCCTTTCTTCTGTAGTGATAGTTGAGTTGAGATTGTTTTGTCTCATCTTTTAGCTGATCCGACATACACAATCACACATACCAAACATTGTATTCCACAATGCATCAAATTCGACAATACATGTATAATATTATACATGCATTCTCAACAATACATCTATTTAACAATCGCAACTTCCAAACGATTATTCTTTCTCTTTGGTGAATTGTATTGTTTCCCATTTGTTGGATTTGCTAATCAGAAATCAACTGTGACTGAAATTTAGATCCTTGTGTGCTTATCTTGCCTGCTGTACATGTTGCAAAAGCATAATGCTTGTTATTGGTCTTCGTAGTTTTTTGATAGGAAAAAACTACGAAGACCAATAACAAGCACTATGCTTAACACCTATGAAATTGATTAATGTATTCATAAGCAGTTGTTGATAACTCAATATGACTTGTACTTCTCTTTTGTTGAAATTACAGGTGGATGCATGATTTATTTATATGACGTGAAGAATACTTGAAGAGACTAGTATAGGCGTGCTAAGTGCTAACCATTGAGATCATCTCAATATTGATGACGATAATTGTATTCTGGATATGTATAGAACACTATGTTTTTTTTATATATATATATGAGCAACATGACACTTTTCATAATAAGATATCATGCGTTGGATTAAAATTTAAATCAATTTAATATTATTTATGCTTTTTATTGTATGCTTTGATTTGTTAAGTTTAATTTACAATTAGCATTTAACTACCATATAAATTAAAGGTTGGTTCATAATTGATCACAACTCACATTCAGTTACCATAAGCTAAATGGTCTATTAAATATACATTCTGGCGACCATAATAAAGAGTTGCCTAACTACCCAACATCCGCAGATGGTTTGGCAACCATTACAAACAGTTGCCGAAACCTCTCATTCGACAACCATAAATGAGATTGTCGCCTGAAATGTCACTTTATAGCGACCATAATGATAGTTGCTGAAACTCTAGCCTTCCACCAATCATTTTATATCTGAAATCCCATTTAACGCCCTAAGTTTTTAAATTTTGTCGCCCTAAATTAATAAACGGACGATTCTACCCCAAGCCCTAAAATGGTCCGGTCCCCTAGTTCCCAAAATGTTCACCTTAATCTCTAAATCTATACGCCCTAGATTCTTCCACCACCACCTTTCGCCCTGAAAGTACGTCACCCGATTCCCCCGTCGCCGCCATTGCACCGTTCGCCTTGGAAGTCCGTCACCCAATTCCCCCATCGCCGCCTTTGCGCCGTTCACGTGGATTTCGAGTTCAATCGTCTCTGCTGCTGCCGAGCGAAGGTGAGGAGGAGCGAAGGCGAGGAGGAAGAAGGAAGGGCCCCGTCGCGGCTGCTCTGCTACTCCTGGGTTCTTCGCGGTCGAGACAGATCAAGGAAGACTAATCGGCGGAAAGCAGTTGCGGCGGCGGTGACGAGTGCTCACTCGGCTATGGCGAAATCTCCCAGCAGCACTCCCAGCCACCTCAAGCATGCCCTAGGTTGAGGGCGCAGAGGAAGGCATTTGCGGCTGCGACGGTGATAACAGCATTCTTCAACGACGAAGACTCCCAGCAGCACTCCAAATGGTGAACGACGGCGATGGGTGTTAATTCTAGGGCGAAAACTTGTTAGAGATTGAAATTTTTTTGGGACAAAAACGTCAAATTACCAAGTTAGGGCGGCCAATTTCAAAAAACCTAGGGCGTTAATTAGTACCTCCCTTTTATATTGTCGTTGAAAACTTGTAAAGGCGACCTTTCGAGTTGTTGAGAGAAGGTTATGCTGGATCTTATACGACTCTCTAACACGCCCCCTCAAACGAAAGCCAACCCATGGGCTTGAAGTTTGCACATACCCACCATACCATGTGCTTGAAAGACGACGGTTAATATTGGGGGTCGTGGAGATTCGAACATATGACCTTTCGGTTCTAGGCTCTGATACCATGTCATAAAGCAGTTGCTCCCAATAACTCGAGTTGTTGGGAGAGGTTCAATCGTGGATCATATACCACAACACTAACACTGCCGACTATAATATATAATTGCCTAAAGTGAATATTTACCGACCATACAATAAAAGGGTCGCCTTGGAACTATGCCGACAATCTTGGCGACTATTTGTCGCCGATGTGTTTCGGCAACCATTTTTTCGTTTCGGCAATCATTACTGATGGTTGCTGAAAACATATTTTCTTGTAGTGATTGCAGTAAAAAATAGGAAAAAATCTCAAGTTACACATGTTTTTAAAAAAAATTCTCAAAATACACAGGTTATGAAAATAATTCCCAATCTACGCATGTTTGGGCCATCACCGCTGTCGACGAAGACAGTGATTGCATCACTGCGGTCGACGAAGACAGTGATTGCATCACTGCGGTCGACGAAGACAGTGATTGCATCACTGCTGTACACGGCCGCGGTGAAGGCCTGACCTGCGTCGAAACTTTAAACAAACGTAACTTTGTGCTCGGTTATCCGATCGTAGTGAAATTTTTTTTTGATTCCGCATAATTTTTCGAGATCTTGCAAGTCGCAAATTGCCGTAGGCGGTTTGGTCCCGCCTTCGTCTCGAAAATATGTCGTTTGCTACCCTGAACGAGCCTTTTTCGATTTCGTCAAACTTTGAACGACCATAACTTTGTGCTCCACAATCCGAAAATCATGAACTTTTTTTGATTTCGCATTAATTTTTAAGGACTACAATTTTTATCATAGACATATTTTCGGAATGTACTTGGATTCCTGAAAAGGAAGGTAAAGTTATTCCCAAAACCCCTTATATCCATAAATAATTCATTTTTTGAAAATTCTCTCCTACTAAATATTGTAGTCCTTAAAAAGTTATGCGAAATAAAAAAAAAATTTCATGATTTTCGGATTGTGGAGCACAAAGTTATGGTCGTTCAAAGTTTGACGAAATCGAAAAAAGGCTCGTTCGGGGTAGCAAACGACATATTTTCGAGACGAAGGCGGGACCAAACTGCCTATGGCAATTTGCGGCTTGCAAGATCTCGAAAAATTATGCGGAATCAAAAAAAATTTCGCTACGATCGGATAACCGAGCATAAAGTTACGTTTGTTTAAAGTTTCGACGCAGGTCAGGCCTTCACCGCGGCCGTGTACAGCAGTGATGCAATCACTGTCTTCGTCGACCGCAGTGATGCAATCACTGTCTTCGTCGACACCGGTGATGGCCCAAACATGCGTAGATTGGAAATTATTTTCATAACGTGTGTATTTTGAGAATTTTTTTTAAAAACATGTGTAACTAGGGATTTTTCCCGTAAAAAATATCGTCCAACTAGAACCATCCGACACGAAGCTCCAACCTTAATTGGCCATCAATCATGCGGCGTTGTGGGCGCTATGATCGTCATCCTTCGATGTGCAATGTGTGTCAAATACTCTACTCAGAAGGTGGAATCGACTGACGATCGAACAAGAGGAGAGAAACCATGTGCCAATTACTCCCAACTCAGAAGGTGGAATTATTTATTTATTTTATATTTTTATTTAACGAAAAGATTACTTGTATTACCACGCACAGAAATTGAAATTATTACATCACCCAGAAAATAAACAGAGAGCTTTTTTAGCTATCAAATGAACTACCCCATTGTTCTTCCTATGATTCTTACCGTGGCTAAATTCGATTCCATGTTTTTATAAATTCTCGAAAGGTGCCCCTTTGTCCGTGAAGCCCATCATCACGGACAAGCCAGTCAGGGTAATTAGATGCCAGCCTACGAGCTTGATCGTACGCTACGAAAGAAAGACGCTTATCTTCCACCGCCAAACGACACCAGAACAGGGTCGCCCCTCCAATATGAATCGGCCGGAAACTCCACGCACATGTGGCGTTAATCGCGACGGCGTGGGCATCGAGATCGTCGTCATCCGATGCACAATGCACAATCAGTATGTTGCTGCTGAGCTGATTGATGACCTGAATGGTCTCCTGGCACGAGGGACGCGGCGCCGTGACTATTATTATCGTCGCTAAAACAATCGCCGCTAGTAACTTTTTATGGACAGCCATTGTTATGTTATATCGATAGTTCCCTGCGAGTAATGTTCTGCTAGGGCTTCTTCTATTAATATAATATTGAGGATGATTTGGGACAATGGGTCTCTTCATATATATTCAATAATGGAGGGTTAGTTAGCTCAATCTGCCGCTTTGGTTCAAAGGGCGGTTTTGGTCGTCTTGCAAGTGTACTGTTGCCGTTTGAAGGGAAAACCGATCGGCGATACCCTCTTGCTACTTTCTTCTTTGGGGATGTCCGTAGGAGGACTTACCAATGCACAAAATTTAGAGGTGGCAATTCCTAATTATATCCAACAATCCAATAATCAATTCTTATACTTAAATATCCGACTAATCGAATTCATTTAAATTCAATCTATTTGATCCAAATTCAATTGGATTGGTGAATTTATAGATTATTTCATAGATTCAAATGACAAATTATGATTTAGTACCTATACTTTTTATATTTTATATTTTGTTACCTGAAATTTATTTTTAATACGAACAATGTCATTGAAAATTTATATTTTGGTACCTATTTTTTTATTATGACACTTTAGTACATAAATTTTTTAAAATTTACATACTGGTTCAAAACTTAGATCTCATTTGGATACATGAATCAATCCACCAACTCCATAAATTTGTGGAGCTATACCACTTGATTAGCGCATGGGATACCGCTCAACTCCATGAAGTGGTGGAGCTATTCCAGTATCTTTATTCCAGTTTCAGTCCTTTCACTTTTTTCTCGTTCAAAAGGTTCATTATTTAATCCATCCACCTAATTCAATCCATTTAAATCCAATCCATTTTAATACCTATAATTTGTATGTTTTATATTTTGATACCTAAACTTTATTTTATCATAAAATATTATTGAAAAGTTACATTTGGTACCAGCAATTTTTTTAGTTTGACATTTTATTAACTAGACTTTTGAAATTTGCATATTGGTCCAATATTTAGATATCACTTGGATCCATGATCCAATCTGTCGATCCATTTGATCCAAAACATGAATCCACAATTCCATATATCTAGTGCATTTGCCACCTTGTTTGTGCCCGTTAGCTTCCATAAATATTAGAGTTTATATTAGGGGTGGGCATTGGTTTGACCGAACCGCATTTATGATCAATCCAAACCGCATCAATAAGATTGCGGTCTGAATGCGGTTTGCTCATAAAACGATTAACGGTTTCGCGATCTGTCGCTTCCAAACCGCGCGGTTGCGGTTCGGAACTGAAAACCGTTAAGTTTTTTTTTTCAAATCGTTCGTAAAGAGAAAAGAAATGGATTTCATTTTATCATTGATCATCTCAGAGCGACGGCCGTCCTTCCGCTTTCGAGCTTGCTAGAGCTGGCCGCAGTTCCGCTCCCGATCCGTCTAGAGATCGATAGCCGCGCTTCCGCTTCGAGATGTCTGCTGATTCAGCGTGTCTGAAATCTCTACCTTCCTATCCCTTTTCCATTGCACCTCCACCAAGACTGCGATCGAGCCACCGAGTGAGAAAGAGATTTGTGCGGCCATTTTGTCAAATTCTCAGATGCCCATAAAAAAGTTGGAAACTTTTTTTTTTTATAATGATGAAAAAAAAGTTGGAAACTTGTTCATGTCAGTATCCTTCCAGAACAGAAGTCATGCTTTTTTCCCATTAGAGATCTAAACTAGCTAGGAAATGACCATGTGAGAGCTTGCCGTTTTATTAATTAATTGATTGAGTGTAATGACCATGTCAGAATCTGAACTTTCTTTTATGCACTATACTCATTTACATTTTTTGGTAGACATACTCATTTGCTTTGTTGTTGTTTAATCATCCTCTTCTTTCTCTTTTTGTGCTCTGTAAACAAAAATCCGGCCAAAATCAGTCTCTCCTCAATTAGGATGCTGCTCAAATGAATAGATGGGTAGTCGAAGAATGAACTCCCTCGCTAACTGGTGTCTGTAATGGTTTATTGTTTTCCTTTCGGCATAATATATGGGTGCTCTGTTTTAGTTTGACAATCTACTAAACTCAGTTTCTCCATCACTCATCAGCAGAATGGCTGTTGAAGTTTTGGACAGATCAATATTGGATCCTTGCTATTGAAGTTTTGGACAGAAATCGTATTACTTCTCTTGTTGCTGAATTCTTTTTTTGTGTTCACTTTTTCACATTGTAGGATTGCTCTGTTTTGGTGACAGGAAACAGAGTCATGTTGTTTAATAAATTACAAATCATATTGAATTGCGGTCAAGATGCGGTGAGGTTCAAACCGCACCAAACCGCTAATTTATGCGATTTGATTTGACCGCACCAATTTCTTCGTGGTCGAATGTGCGGTGCGGTTCAATTAAAATGCGATGCGGTGCGGTTTATATCAATGTGGTGCGATGCGGTTCAAACTGCACCAATGCCCACCCCTAGTTTATATATAGGAGTAAAATAAGAAGCTCAGTCCATGTCATTAGTAGGCAACAAGGAAGAGTCGATGCAAGTTATAACAACACTGCAGCAACGTACGCATAGGGTTTCTGGCGAAGGAAATGGAGAAATCAAAGAGGAAGTTGGATGGTTTTCTGCATCTATATTACATCGGATCGGCGGAAGCATACGCGGAGTAGGGGGAACGATAGTACTTATAATTTCCTATTAAAACAGGCATAACGTTGGATTTGTTCCCAGAAATATCATCCAATAATTAAATAATTCCAAAACTACCATCCTTATTAGGGCGCAATTACCCACCCATGGATAATTTTATCTAAACCTAAGGATAAGTAGACTCATTGATTATGGATTAGGGTATAGGTAAAGTTTATATGGGTTTGGGAGGTTTGTACATGGGTTTGGATCTTGATTCCATAATCCAAAATGGGTATGAGTTGGATATGGATACTCATTTAGTTAAGAGTGTTTTAACTACACATAGAAAAATTAGACTTATTTATAAAGTTTAAAATGTTTAGGTATCAAAATGTAATGCTCAAAAAATTTAGGTACTAAAATATAATTTCAATCTGTCACGTATTAAGAATAGTCAATAGCATTTCCCCTGAATTCTAATGTTTTCCTATCATGGACTCTACACTATTTATTTTCCTATCATGGTCACGGAAGTATAGGAATGTTTTTTATACTATGGTATTTAGCGTTCAAAGTTTGTTAGTATTCTCGTCGAATAGTGTTGACAAAGGGCTTCCTCCATAGTTTTTAATCCTCTCCCCAACTAATTCCTTACATGAATTTCACCCTGCAGTTTCCAATCAAAATTAACAAACCGATCTTTCCTTTGTCGAAACTGAAAAAAGAATTAAAACAGTGACGATAACTTTGTAATTACATTATCTTTTTTGGAGCGACTATATAATTAGCGTGTCCAGTTGGATCCCCTCTTAAGAGAAGATTAAGAATCTTTTTACTGCAAAGACCATAACATAGCAAATTTTATATTTAAAAGACTATATAAAAAATATAGTACAGGGATCATAATTGGAAAATATTCATAGTTCATGGCTCAAATATATTATTAACTCACTTAAGAATAAACAAAATTCTATTAAATGTTAATTACTATTAGCCGTCTTTGACGCACATTAGAGATTCCAAATCACTCCTTACAATTATCATCATATGCATAATTAATCCATCTTTGTTCTTTCAACAACCAATAAATCCATCTTTCTTATCTATATAAGTACATGTATATATGGACACCAGCGTTAGGTATTACATATAACAGGGCTTTCTTTGAACGTGCTTCGTCGTTCTACTTTGTGCTTCGTAGGTATAATAAGGTTGCCTTATTGTATCGTGGCAAAACATGCTCTTTCAATGTTGATATAATAAGGATGCCCAATATTTAAGAAATGTGCATATCGTTCACGGTTAAAAATAATAACTGATGGAGTTGTTGAGAGACATCTACATATGATATTTAACACCACCTCTTTACACACTCTCTCAAACCAAAGTTAACATATGGGCTTAAAGTTTACGCATGCCCGCCATATACCGTGTGCGTTAAGAACAAAGATTAATATTGGGGTCATGAAGAATATATCATGTAACCTCAAGGACAAACCAACTCCAAAACCATGACAAGAATCTGTTGTTCTCAATGAGCTTATATGTTGGGAGAGGTCCCTGTATAGTATTTAACCACTTCCTTACAAGTTCGTATAAAAAACCTTGATCATACATTACGAAAGAAAGATGCTTATCATCCAGCACGATCCAAGCTCCTCTCGTATTAGCAATGTGCAGTGTGTCAAAAATACTCCAAACGAAGGTGGAATCGACGGAAGAAGAACAAGAGGAGAATCAACATCAACAGAATCCACATTAGTGCAATGGTCCAAGATTGCCGTTCTTCTTTCTGAAATCATGATCCGATCCACATTAGTTCATCAGTTAAATCGAGCATATTATAAGTCGAGCCTATTATGAGAAATATGGCATTCCATCCTCTTATGCAATATCCAACGAAAAAAATTGCACCCAAAAAATTCGTCGTACCAAGGCCATTTCACTTTAAACCGAAACGGACACCATAATCAATTTCCAAATCGTGGGAACCAAGATCGTCGTTTTTGATCGACAATGCACTATCAATATTATGTTGCTTAACTTACTTGTGATATGAATCATCAACAACCGGATTGATAAATGGCTAAGAAAACACTTCTTAAATGAAAAAAAAGTAGACTAAGGAAAAATTTCGAGAAGACAAAAAGGAAACGAACTATCGAAATTCATCAACCTACGATACTCGAATCCGGTTCCATGATCTTATAAAAGGTCGAAAGGTGTCTTCTTGCCCGTAAACCCCATCATCACGAACAAGCCAGTCAGGAAAATTAAATGACTTTATAAGACCCTGATCATACGCTACGAAAGAAAGACGCTTATCTTCTATCGCTAATCGCACCAGAACAGCGTTGCCCCGCCGATATAAATTGGCCGAAAACTCCACGCAAATGTGTCGTTAATCACGACGGTGAGGGCGCCGAGATCGTCGTC